AGGTTTTCGAATGTTCTCGTATGTACTAGTCCATTCTTGTGGGTCTCGATTCTTCTCGAACGAATGAATCATTGCGGTGTCTATGCGATGTTAAGGTCATCCGAGGGCGGGCCATATTGTGAGGTTAGGTCGAGTCCACACCGGCTCGCAACAATATAATTTATTAATTTTATTTTTATTTTATAAATTGTGATTATAATAAACTTGCGTTTATCTCATCAAAAAGACCGAATTCTACAAAATATCAAGAGTTAACTTTAATTGGTATTAAACGTCCTACACAATTTTGATATCAAAAGAAAAAAAGTCAGTGGCGCACATGCTTTTTTTTAAATATTCCAGTGATAACTGACATGCACGTCCCTGATGAATTTATGGACTTACACTTATAGTATCTTTTACCCTCAAAATTTCATGCGAATCACTAAAAGTATATACTTGGAAGAAAATTATAATAAATCGTAAGAATATTTAACACCCTGTACTGTAGCTAAGAAACAAAGCAGAATCGGACCTATGTTGATATGAAAAATAAATCTTATTTTTACTAGAGGAATCTCATCGGCACAGATAGCACATATGTTTTTTGAAACACCCCGTTTATGAAGTCTATATATATCTCCCAATACATCCAGCCGCTCTTCTCCATTGGAAAATGGTACATATTTGTAAAGGTATTTGCCTTTACTTTTTCTGCTTTTAAAGTTTAGCTGCATATTAAAACACCTCTAACTATTTTACTGTTTTATAATTTAACGTGGAAAATAAAATACCTATAATATATTTAAAAATAATTATTACTTAAAAAACTGATTCTAGATGATATATATTTATATATATTTTATAAAAACTTAAGACCAACTGTTTAACATTAAAAATACACAAAATACCACTAACGTTATAACATTAGGGCGAATATGCGAGCCTTCAGCTTTCTGGTCTTGTTTATCGTGTGAAATTCTATTTTTTATATCCTCCAACGACGTTTCGATACTTTTATTGATAGCCTTCATAAGGGGAAAGTTTGAATCTTCTTCTGAATCGGCACAATCGCCTTGAAAATCATCCGTATCTATGGACCATACCTGAAATATATATAAAAAAATAATTTCTGCATTGTTAAATTATCAATATGTCCTTACCATTACACCTGCAAGATTCTTTTCCATGGCAAAGCGTACTTTTTCGAAGATAGATCTTTCATCGTCATAAGTTATCACTTGCTTGCCACGCACAGCAAAGGGAGTGCTACTCTCACTATCCCAGAATTTTTTCCAGGGTTCAGTTTTGTTGTTTAGCTCCAGGCAGATCTCGTTGTACCCCATGAACCCGTTTTCTCTGGTGAAGGGACCCTGAAATCCCACGTTGGTAGATGGCATTCCCAGTTTGACTTTCCTCTTTGAAGTTAGATTTATGGGTTCAGATAATTCGAACGTTCTTCCATAAAGTGGTACCCCGATTACCAGTTTGTTAGGAGGGGCACCCGATTTCAACATGTAGTTGATGGAATATTCCTTGAGAAAAGCAAATGAATTAGTTATTTTAAGTCCAAGGAAAGGTTTTTGGTGCATTTCAGTTGATTTCAACAAATTCCGACCGCAGCGCTTCAACGGCAGAAATCAGAGATTATCAGTTGTATTTCACGCCGCGCCGTCGGCGCCGGCATGTTAAAATTATTAAAATAATATTGACATCGTGGTTTTGTCATAATATTTAAGTATTTTAATTTTTTGCTAGTGCAGTTATTGAGACTACAGGTTCACTCAGGTACGAGGTTTATGTGATGTAACGCTGTTTCGGGTAGTAAAAAATAACTGAAAAAGAATTTGAACTAGGCATCGCGTTGTGTTGTGACAATTTCAAATGTTAATAAAACTGCCAAAAAAATGTTAACGCGTAAAGGAGAACGTAATTATTGCGTTGTTGGGTGCAATAACATTCAATAATTCAACTTTCTCGGATATTCAACACTTCCAAAACAACATTTTATAGCTTCATAGTTTCTCACACCGATTTGATCAAAAGCAAAAATGGATTCAAGCAGTTCGACGTTCGACGAAACAAGTTAGTAAACAAAGTGTTCGTTACGTAATCAAAAAATTAAATAGACATATACTCCGAGAGGATAAAGTATAATTTGCAATATTAATATATACTTTTTTTAATCAACTAGTAATTAAATGTTTTATGAACATCTTCTAAAATTATAATTATGTACTTTTGCTCGCTACCGTAGTTGAACCGATGAGTTGAACTCATCTAACATTTTTTAACTGGAATATTAAATTATAATACAAGTTAGAGCTTCTGAATATATCAAAATATTTACTTTTTTATTTTTATTTCTAGAATTTTCACAAATTATACCGTATGATCGAAAAAAAAGGAGTGCAGTTAACTTGGAAATGACGATTGATGACATTTCCCATATAATTTTACATATAAAATGACAGCGATCTTAACACTTTTAGAATAGGTAATTAAATACATTTTTCGTATAAACGCTATTTAAACCCGTGAATTTGTATATACTCAAAGATATTTAAACTCAGAGATATATTTGTATATACTAGTTGTTTACGATATTCTCCGATGGTGACAGCACCCGCCGAGAATGCACCAAGCCTATAGGAAATTCACAATTTTTAGTTAGGCCTACTATAATATTACTAGGCTAAAAACCCAATGTAACAGATACAACACAAAAATACTATTAGAACTTACGACATTAAGATTGTCAGCACTCTTGAGGGGAGAGTTAGGTCCTGTTTTTTGATCCCAAGCTCCGTGATAATCGTAGCACATCATGTGGATGAAGTCCAGGTATACAGCCAGGCCTTCAACATCATAGGCTACATCGATTGTGTCCTTCCCCGCGCCGAACGCTGCGGTCAACAATAATTTGTGTTTCCGTAGCGCAGCTTTCAGTTCCTTCAATTAAAGATGTTTATTTTAGAAAAAAACCTATCGATGTCGATATTAATACACATCTCTACTCTGAATAAAATTACTTATTTAGCGTGACCTTTCGATTTAACCGTTTATTATCCATAATCAGATTTATACCGGATGGAGTCGTTGAAATTGACGATTTAACCATTAAAAATGGCATAATAATTTGCACCCGGGTGAATAAACACATTTCTTATTAGAAACTACAAAATAGTAGCTTAAAATATAAGTCGCATTCTCACGACTCGTGTACTTGGCAAGTATTTTTTATTGGTCTACAGTGTTTGGCGGGAGTGCGGCGCAGGTCATTTAATAAATAATTTAGAAATTCTGTATAGATGCCCGACTCACCGTGTATACCCTGTATACCAATTACAAATGTTTGTCAAGTACACGAGTCATGAGAATGCGTCTTTACGGTAAATACCTATATCTCTATCAGTATACAGAGTACTAGATTCATAGCATTAATTAGTCACCAGTAGAGTATTAACAAAATTATACAGGGAATATACAGGGTCAGTCTTAAATAAGTGTAAATATTTTCGGTAGATCTCGATTAAAGAAACATATTTTCTCCATCTCCATACCGTTTTTCAAATAAGCATAATAATAACCTGAATATTTTACTTTGAAAATAAAAAAAAATGATTTTTCACTTAAATGTTAAGAACCACTGGATCTTTACTGTTTTTTTTCTTGAAAATTTAATCTACTATCTATGTTGCCATATTGATTCATCTATGAAGATATTATGTTTTTTAACTAAAAATTAAAAAAAATTTCCAGTTTTTTTCTTCAAATTGCTTCAAACGCAACCAAACCAAACCAAATTTTCGATTTTATCGCGAAAAAAGCCTCTTAGACGTGTTTCTGTGGTAATATATACTACCCATAACACTATATGTACTTATATAAGACTCACACTGTGTAGATACAGGATGTTTAAAAAAATGTGTGCCATCTCTAGTGGGGAGATTCCTCACGTAAAAATAAGATTTATTTTTTATATGAACATAGGTTCTATTCTGCTTTTTGTTTCGTAGCTACAGGGGGTTAAAGTCTCAAAAAAAATGTTTTTTCGATTTATTATAATTTTCTTCCAAGTTTTCCTACACGAGTATTAAAATCTTAATGCTAAAAAAGTGTCAATAGATTCACCAGTGACGTGCATATGGGTATAATATTAGTAATGTAACTGGAATATTTAATATTATTAAATTTTATTAAAATTTATAACACTGATGTTTAGTGCTCCCTAGATCAAAAATTCAAGAAAAGAAGATATCCTATAACATTTAAACTATGCATTTCCGCACGCATGTTTATAGGAACTTTCTTTCATATTTTTTTGATGGGGAATCAGTGAGTTTAACACTTTAGTCAGTTAAGGACATTACAATTTTTTAAAGGTTATTAGTTTTGGATTAATCTTCTTATTCAAAGGGATTAAGCGAAATTAATAAAATTGTGTATATCTCACCAAGGAGACTGAAATCGACAAAATATCAAGAGAGAATACAATCGGCATTAAATAGTCTACAGAAATATGATAACAAAAGAAAGTAGAGTCAGTGGCGCAGTTTTTCTTTAGAAAAATTCCAGTGATAACTCATATGCACGTCCCTGGTGAATATATCGACTCTTTTTCATCATTAAAATATGTCGCACTTATAGTACCTTTTACTCCCAAAATTTCATTCGAATCTCTAAAAGCACTTCGAAGATATATATAAATCGAAAAAAAAATTAAGACATTAACCCTCTGTAACTACGAAACAAAGAAGAATCGAACCTATATCAACATATCTGCTTTGTCCTGACCGATTCACATGTTTTTGAAACACTCTGTATTTGTTATGGCGGAAAATATTTACCTTAACTAATAACAAAAAGTTAAGTTTGTCTTCTGGGGCTCCGCCTCTTTTCGCAGGAAACTCCCAGTCCAAGTCCAACCCGTCGAAGTGGTATTTTCTGTAAAAAATCTTATAGAATCATATAATATTTTTCAATTCTATCTTTACTATTTAGTTTTTTTATTATCTAACCTGATGAAATCCACTGCATTAGAGACGAATTTACTTCTCCTTGCAGGGTCTGCCACCATTTTAGAATAATTTGCTGAACCCTCATTCCATCCTCCAATGGCAAGAGACACCTTCAAATGCGGATATCTTAATCTCAAATTCGTCATCTTTTGGTATCCTCCCTTACCATAATCTTCCGTCAAATCTTGCCATGGATCTGTAAATAAATATCACTTAACAAATTAATTATGGATAGCCTGATTAAGTAATTATATCACAAGATATGCAACTAATATTACACAAAGTCCTATATGTATATTTTCGATGTACTTAAACAGCCGTTAAACGGTAGCCTACTAAAATGCCGTTAATAGATATTGTGACGTCGTTCATGTCGGCGGAAAGTAATGCCTAGCCTTAAGGTTGTCGCCTACTAGACCGCTGCGCGGCGCGGCGCTGAGAAGAGAATTTTTTCCGGCTGTGAAGGGACTGCGCCCACTATAGCGCGCTTTTGAAACGCGGCAACGCTATTTAGTTATAGTCGAAGTGTTTTTTACTTACTGTAGTTTAGTTTTTAAAGCAATGAGTTCAAGTACGGACGAAAGCGTATTTTTTGTGCTCTTCTAACAGAGGAAGAGGAAGAGGGGGTGAGGAAAAGTTTGGACTCATACGATTAACAAAAAAAGAAAGAAGTTTGGAGAATTTTACCATCTTTTTCCAGATTTAATAAAAGACAAAATCATTTTTTTCAGTATTACAAAATATAAAGGAAACATTTTACCACAGATTTTACGCACTCCTCAATTGAGGGTTTTAGAAGAAAAAACACCGGGTATATCTACTCCTCATATTTTTTCAGAAGAGACAAATTACTAATATTTTTGATAATTCTTATTTATTCTGATGTGTATATTCTTTGTATATTAGTCATGTGGTCAAAAGAACCCTGATCTTTTTTATATATTTAGGTAATTAGAATTTAAAAATTGGAGATTGTCACTTTTGTTAAAAAGTGGAGATTGCCAGTTTTGCCTCTACACCCCTCAATTATATTAAATCTTTGATAGAAAGGCATTTCGTCCATCTGTCTCTAGTGAGGGAAGACTAAAAAAAAATATCATATTCCTTTATGAAAATCGATTTGCCTAATTTACCTTTAAAAATACAATTCTGCCATTGATACATATCACTAGTTCCTAGTCAAAAAGCCAACTGAAAAGACTCGAATGCAAAATTATTTCCCTTAGTACGCACACTGCAACGCGCCGAAACGCGGAGACGAAAAAGTTGCTAGAGAAGTCTTCCGACTTCTTGACGGAAATCCCGCGGCGCGCTTCTGCGCTGCGCGCTCTAATGTGCGTTGGTCCATTTAAATACATGGCAAGCAGACAAAAGAAATTTCTACATGGCGCCGCGCCGCGTCGCGCCGCGGTCTAGTGGGCGACAACCTTTAAGCTTTTTGCAAGAGCACCTGTGGGTCAGTGGCTGAGGCTATCGTTTCGTAAGCGAATGGCCTGTGGTTCAAATCTCACGCCGACCAAGACTTTTTTATATTATTTTTGCTTATAGCGTGATCTTATTGCATTGGTTTCACACTTTTTGGTTGGATTGGTTTAGTTATTTGGCGGGTTGGTTAGCGTGGTTATTTGGAGGGGGTTAATTCATTGGTTAGTTGGTTATTTGGTGGGGTTGGTTGATTTTTACTAATTTATATTTGTTTTTTATATTTTTTATCAGTGTCGAGGTTAGTTGCGTTGGTTAAGTTGGTTATTTGGTGGGGTGGATAGCGTTGGTTAGTCCTTATAAAATTCCTATATTTCATAAAGCCGTCAAGTGCGTCACATCAACAACGTCATACCTATTAACGGCATTTTAGTAAGCTACCGTTTAATGGCAGTTTAAGTACAGCCAAAAATATATGGCTGTGACCAACCCCACCAAATAACCAACTAACCAATGAATTAACACCCTCCAAATAACCACGCTAACCAACCCGCCAAATAACTAAACCAATCCAACCAAAAAGAGTGAAATCAATGCAATAAGATCACGCTATAAGCAAAAAAAATATAAAAAAGTCATGGTCGGCTTGAGATTTGAACCACGGACCATTCGCTCACGAAGCGATAGCCTCAGCCACGGAGCCACAAGTGCTCTTGCAAAATGCTTATAGCTAGGCATTACTTTCCGCCGACATGAACGACGTCACAATACCTATTAACGGCATTTTAGTAGGCTACCGTTTAACGCCTGTTTAAGTACATCGTATATTTTTTCTGTTAGTCTTGGAGGTATACTGGGTGTAGTGGGTGCGTGATTGCTAAATATACTAGACTTCTGTTACTATAGCGTATAGCCGGCGATCTAAACAAACAAAAATTAACCCCAGAGATTAACCAGCGTAAACAAAACACGCCCACGGCATGTTGAAAAATAAACATATCGGTGTACAAGTCTAGTTTCTTTAGAACCCAAGTCTAGTAAGGTAACACCAGTGGCGGCTCGTCAGGGTAGGCAAGGTTAGGCGGCGCCTACCCTACAATTTTGTCAGATTTTTTTTACATTATAATATTTATCTTTATTAATGTTGCCAATGCATATGTATATTAATACACGGAAATGAGTTGTAACAATTAATATTAATTTAATATTTGTAGTCTTTTATATTAATATATTAACTATCGCTGGCGTATGCAGCGTTAGAAATCAAAATAATTTTGACCGTTGGTGTATATGCATTCATCTTTGTTCGGCGATTTCTATACCCAGGAAGCAATGTCACGTAAAAATGACGTTAAATTCTGGTCAGCAAGTGACGAGATATGACGAATTAAATGACGTAAATATGACGTGAAAATCACTTCCTAATGTCTCAGACGAATGACGTCATATTGCAGACGTCATTTTAACGTAATATTACAGGTAATATTGGGTACGTGATATTAACGTGATTATATACTAGATACTACTGCAAGAAAAATGAAACCATTACATTTTGAAATGCTAATATAGCTACCTATATTAAAAAACGTACATACATATCAAATATTTACAATTATTATAAATTATATACTATGTATAATTGGAAATGCTACAAAACCTTTTTCCTTAAATGGCAAAACGACACATTTGCCAATAATCCTGAGTGATTGACCAGATCTTAAGATCTGATAAATTATTGACAACATATATACTCAATTCACTAGAGGGGTATGGATATGAATATAAATCAGAATAATAAAGAAATTCTTTACCGATAAGGTAAATCTCATTATCACTTGCTTTTATAATATTATGAATTTCAATAACTTTATTATTTCCTTTATCGTTTGGCACAAGCAATAGCAGTCTGCCTTTGCCTGAGTTATTACTGACAGAGTTGTTTCATGAAAAATAATTTTACCGAACTGTTTATGGTATTTAATTTGTTTATTTAAAACAGGTAACGGCCCTCTCGAGTGTTCTAGAAGAAGTTTAAGATGATTAAATTCAATATTTATTTTTGAAATTAATAGGTCTCTTTCAACTAGCCGACGATGAATTTGTTGTAAAAGGATTTGTAGGAGCTTTTACTAAAGATTTTAGTTGTCCTAAATAGTTCTCAAAAGGGAAGGCTGAAAAGTTGTCGAGCACACCAAATATTTCTACATCATCACAAATGTGTGATAACAAATGCACATTATAAATAATAAACTCTTTACCATCTATTGTTTTCAAATGTTGAATAAAAACATTTATAATATCTTTTACGAAGAGAACTCCAAATTGTTTAATATGTTTTTGACAATAATATAGAGATCGAAAAATGAAATGCAAGGAAATTCTCGTAAATCGCAATATCTACAAGATCTTTAAAACAAAGGACCCAAGTAAATTAAAAACATTCTAAACTCGGTCGCTTTCCAGTATTGGAGCTCATCGAGAGCGAGGCTTTCGATTAAATTCTACCGGTATATGTGTTTTTAAATCAAGTAGACGTTCAGATATAATTTTTACTTTTTGACTTGGAAGTCTGACTTTTAATGGGCCGCCAATCCAAGTATTTAATAATTTTTTAACAATGCCTAAGCAAATATTATGCATGTAATCGATTGGAAAAGATTTAATCAAATCTATCGGTAATTCAGTTAATGGAGTTTGCGCAATATGATGGTCCTCGTCAAGTTGCTGTCTAAACGCTTCGTCGGTGCGCTTTTGAGATATTAAGCTGTCAAGAACAACTTTGTTCATATAATACTCTCCACGGACGGTGCATTTATCGCAAGAGGAATATCCTGTGTGCGATTTCGTGCACTTTAAGTAAGCTCGTGCAGGAGCATCGCAAATAAAGCTATGCACTTTGATTTCAACATATTCATTTGACCCATTTATAAATCCATTCTGAAGGAAGGTATTTAGTTCTTCTATAAATGGTTTTAAAAATGTATTTAAAGGTTTAGGTTTACTTTTACCACAAAAACTGCAACTGTAAAAGGATTACTACAGGGAATATTTTTAATTGAACATAAAATCGGCCAAAGTTGTGATTTTGAACTTTTAAATAACGGAATACCATCAACATTAAAACAAAGCTGAATTTCTCAATTAATTGAACTATTTGACACATTTTTGATATAACATTTTTTAGGCCAAAATAACAAAATTGACCAGTTTCCAAAGTAACGATGTCAGTTGAATTAGGAGTAGCTAGCAAGGTTCGGCTATCTAAAGGTAGTTCAGGATGGTAAGGCGAAAGTATGTGGAGAAGGTCAGTTAAAGCAGAGTGTGTTATTTTATGTTTCACAGTTGCCCATTCAACTAACTGCTGACAAAGCTTTGTATTTTCTTGATGTGAATCGTCTTGGTCAGAAATTGAGGATGATGGAGAATTTGAAATAGATGAAGTGTCACTACAATCAGTATTATTTAAAGTTTGTGACTGAACAATTTCTAAACTTGAAGTACTATTATCACAGTTTGGTATAATGTTAAAAGTATTACTATCTACCTGAGCATATTCACTAAGATTATTGGCAACAGTGTCCTTACAACTATCTTTATCTTGTAAAATATTTTGTGCAAATTGTTGTGAAGCTATTAAAGCCCTCCTAGATTTTTGCCTTGCACCAACAAATTCTTTCGGTTTTCGTTTTGACATTTAAAAAAATAATAGTAAATGTTACTTGCACTTACATTAGGTAATAATAAAATAAATTAAGGAGTAAACTTTTGTCCTTGCTTATGCTTCTTTTCCATTCTCTGCTTAGCATGCTTCAACCAAGTTTTTACTGCATTCTCAATAACCACTGTAGTTGTAGATGGAGATTTAATCTGTATGGCGCCTAGACATAAGAAAAATGTTTATGCTATATTCATATTTTTTAGTCGTCTACTTACGTATGATGACATTCACTAATTTTGTGTTTCCGAAAGCTTGTTTATTTCGTTGCCCGGCAAAATTATAATGTGTAGCTAAAAAATCTGACATGACCATTCTCAAAATTCTATTGACCTGAGCAGGGATTCCATTACCCCCTAGCGTTGAAAAATATGAAGCCTAAAATAGAAAATTAATCATAAAAAACTAGGTACTTAATATGTCTTGCTATAATGACAAAAATACTAAATAATACAATAATAATCATTACCAAATCATTGGAACTGTCCTCCTGTGAATTTAGATACTCCTCCAAGGTTTGCAAATTAGCAATACTTTCCAGAGGAAATTCCACTGGAATATCAGGTAAACAAGAAACAGTAGTTATGTTCCTTGTTTGTTTAAGTAATCCCTTAACCTCTTTTATTTCTTCCCTTAATTTTCTCACCTCTTTAAAAATTTTGTCCAAACCTAAAATAGAAAAAAAAAACAGATAGTTAATGCAATAGACCCACAAAAAAATATTATACCATTAGCAGACACAGTTATGGTTCTAGTCTCAGTTCTATTACTGTCAGATAAAGTTGATTGAATACAAGGTGTCAAAGTTATATCTTGATCTTCATCAATAAGTGATGGTGATGACACATCATGTGACACATTCAAATTTTCTCTCAATGTTTGGGTATTGGGAGTAATTTTGTTGGATACAGAAATATCACTATTGGAACCCCTAGCTGATGGGGTTTTCAATGTTTTCTGACAATTTGAGTCATCTGTTTAGAAATAGTATGTATTTATTAGATTCAAGACATAACAGCAATAAACATCCCTGTAAACTGCCAAAATGTTTGTTGTTATTTATATTTACCAGGTTTTACTTTTGGAAAAGTAGGCGGCCTTGGAAATTTTGAAAGTGGTTCATCCTCTTCACCTTCACTGGTGGAATAATCAGATAAATACCTCTTCACACTGAATTTTTTTCTAGTGCCCAAGGCTGAGTCAGATTCTGATGACTGTATGTCTGATGTTTCTTCACACTTTTTTAAATTCTTTTGAGCTTTTTCTAAGCTGTCTGTAAAAAAATTAAATTAATTAGGCGAGGTGCACATAAAGTTAGAAATACTTATGGCAAATATACAATCTAATTCTGACTTTTACTGCAAAAAAAACTATTTGTTACCCAGGTTTTTGTTCTGAAAATTCCAAGGAAAATACAACCTAATAAATATTATTTTATATAATGCTTCCTATAAAAATCCCATATGTATATGGTTAAACCTGATTGAAGTTTGAATTTTGATGATATGATGTTACATCATAGTGCTGCCACCAATAAATTCCATTAGAATATGCTTAGTGACATAGATGACGTAACAACATACCTTCAGAATTTAAACTTAGGTACTCAAAGTGTAACATTTTACACCAGAGATTAGATTAATAAATTACTAAGAAAAAGCCAAAGATTTCTAGATTCAATTTCAAAAACTATTAAAGATATTATACACACCACATTCAAAAAACAAACGTTTAACAGGATATAATTTCCAACTACTCTGACTAGGTTCTTCAGGAGTAGAAATTGCTCTATTGAAAAGATTAGATGTTTTATAAGGTGGCCAAAATGCCTCTTTCTTCAAAGGGGTAAGCCACGACGAGTGGACCAAACCTATTCCACCATTGTCTAAAAATTCCACTCCCACATAAGTCATCTTGTATGGATAACGTACACTACAGATTTATTCTAAGCCAACACCAACACTACAAAAATAGAAAAAAAATCCAAACAAAATACAAATTAAACACAAAAATTTAAGAATTAGGTAATTTAGGGGTAACCAATTTAGGTATACTTAGTGACGGAGAGATAATTGGAATCACCGATGCCCCGTAGCTTCAGATTCGTTGGTCAGATAATATATACACTTACACCTCGACTTACTTATACATCTGATAAATTGAATTGTTCTATGATAAACAAATAGGTATAGAAAACGTCTTGAGATAAAATGTATTGATTTACAACTATATGGATAGCCCTCAGGATATCATTACATTAGGTACTTCCTTAAAAGTGTATGGAGACTCTTTGATTGACGACATAATGCCCAATTAAATTGAAAAAATTGTAAATATTACACTTATAATTTATAATACTTACCAGAAAGATGACCCTGCACTTATCTACAAGAATATAGAATATAGTAGCACCTAACACCGAAGATCAACAGTCACAGCAATACTAATCCTTTGTCCTTTGTTTATCTATTTAATATCATACCGCCATTCGCCATTCCATAATCAAAAACCACATGAAGACGGGAAATTGGTATTAATCACAGGTATTAATTATTATTTCGTTCCGTTTTCCCTCCAAACCACTCGACCCCACGCCACGATCATAACCTCACAATTTTTCAAAACCAAAAACGTCAAATATCAATTAAAGTAGTTGATCGGTTAAAATATACGGATAAAATCGAACGAACTGAGTAGTAGAATTTGGTATATATCGCGCGAAGTTAGAAAACATTAATTTTATCGTGAAAACGCAATAAAAAAATTCATAATGTTCTTATACATATTATATCACCCGAAAATCACGTTAAAATGACGTGATATGATATTACATCATTTTGGCGTCATTTATCTGACGTCATTATGTCGTCAATTTCTGGTTATTTTGGAATACATGACGAGTATTGACGAGTTATCACCATATAATAACGTCATTGTGACGTGCTCCTGCTACCTGGGTAACATCGCCTTTCAAATTAAATTTTGATCTCCCACTCAGCCGTCGATGTGTCTGTCTTTTGTCTCTCTCTAACTCATCGCTCGGTAGCAATGGAAATCGATGACTACGTCGAATTAAGGCGGGGTTTAGGCGATATCTTCGGTCGCCTCGGCATGCGCGTGGAGCTCGATCTCGATAGGTTTTAGAAATTCGGTGGTTTCCATAGTATATTATTCATCATACGTTATCAGTATTTAAAACTTTAATTTTAATTACAAATTTTAAAACAGATTTTAATCTGTTTATCGACTCCCTATTATTGACTTGAATTATTGTGTACAGTGCATTTGATGTTCCTGTTAGTGTACAGTGCATTTGGATGTTAATTTCTAAGTTAACAAGGAGGAGATACGGATAAGTATTAATTTAGATTAAAATTTGGAGTAATTAATGTTGATTTTCAATATGGATAATCTAATTCATGCAATTTATGCGACGTATACAATACATTCATACCATTTACAAGTATATCATAGCCCTTCAATAATCTGATAACATTACTGATATAATAATAAAATTATTATTATTAAGTTATTTCGTTTTTTCATTTATTTATTAATGTTAAGATAGTTTTGAACTGTTTTATTTAGAGTTAATATTTTGAATTTGGCGCCTTTAATCATATCGATAATTCAGAGACGTCAACATGACAGCACTTACTTGTCACTTGTCATAGATTGTTAGAGAGATTTTTGTCGAAGCATAGTCGAAGGTCAGAACTAATGGTAATTGTAAAAAACATTTGTATTTTTCACAACGTTTATTGTTACTAAAATATTATACTTAACAAAAGTTAATATACTGTTCAACTGAAGCGTGTTTTAGTGGATCCCCTTTAACAGGTTATGGGCCCAGGACGGCTCCTACACGCTAAAGAACTAAAAGAAATTTAGTTAAATTGTTGAACAGTCGAGAGTAAAATAAACAGAAAGATGGCTGACAAAATTGACGTCACATCAGTAAGTAAATTTGATGGAAACAATTACTTGCAGTGGAAATTCTAGATGCGATGTGCACTTAAAGCAAAAGGTATATATGATGTACTTGAAAAAGTTCCACCATCTGCAGCACAGCCTGAAGAGCTAACTGAATGGATAAGGCAAGATGCACAAGCAATGTTTTTGCTAACATCGACAATGGACCTGAAGCAAATCACACTTATTGAAAACTGCGAAAGTGCGAAAGAGATGCTTCAAAAGCTGGATGCTATATATATGCAAAAGTCCGAAACTAACAAAATGCTAGTTCATGAGAGATTCCACCAGTACAAAATGAATCCCAATGATACTATAGCACAGCATATTGCAAAAGTAGAAAACCTAGCTAGACAGATAAGAAAATCAGGTGAGTTAATAAGTGACACAGCGGTAATGACAAAGGTACTAAGCTCTTTACCAATGAAGTATAGAAATGTGAGACAAGCTTGGCTATCTTTAGATGAAAATAAGCAGACTATAGCAAATCTTACTGCACGCTTGCTTGATGAAGAAGCTAGTCTATCAAGCTATGAAGAAGCAGAAACTGCTCTAGCAGCAGTATCTCTGAAGGACAAAACCAACCAGATTCAAAAATCTACAAAAAGTAGTATTACTTGCTATAACTGTCACAAGAAAGGGCATATTGCCAGAAATTGCAGAAAACCTAAAAGAAAAGCAAATAATCAAAGCAAAGAACAATCAAATGATACAGTGCTCAGTACCAGTAGTGAGACTGCTTTCAATGTAGAAACAGAGAATCAGATAAACAGCGAAGAAAAATGGATAATGGACAGTGGAGCGTCAGCTCATATGTGCTACCGCAGAGACTTTTTCTCCATTTTTGAAGAGTTCAAATCAAAAGTTTGGTTAGGGAATAATCAAAGTTTGGAAGTTCAAGGAAAAGGAACAATAAGAATAAGAAAATTAATTGATAACAAATGGCAGAATGCTACAATTAATGATGTACTTTTTGTTCCAGAACTACGGAAAAATCTATTCTCTGAAGGAGCTATTACAAATAAAGGAATGAAAGTTGTCAAAGAAGGTTCACGAGCAGAAATCTTTCAGTTAGACAAGTTAGTTGCCACAGCAATTCGTGACGACAATAACATATACAAAATGTTATTTTATACATTGGTATTAAATGCTGATACTGCTACAAAGAAAAATAACTTCAAGTTATGGCATGAAAGGCTAGGCCATATAAATCAAGAATATACCAAGAAGATGATAAAAGATGGTTTGATAAATGGTATGTCTCAATGACACTGAAAAGTTTTTCTGTGAAGGATGTTCATATCGTAAACAACATAGATTACCATTTAAGTCAAGAAAACACACAAAACTGAAGCCTGCAGAACGAATTTTTAGTGATGTTTGTGGTCCAATGGACATACCCTCTGTTTAAGGAGCAAGGTATTTTGTTACATTTAAAGATGAAAATTCCGGCTACAGAGTAGCATACTTTATCAAACACAAAAGTGATGTGTTAGAATGTTTTAAGACTTTTACAAACAAAGTCAAAACAAAGTTTGGCTATTCTGTTAAAATTTTACACGTTGACAATGGTACAGAATACAATAACAGTCAATTTAAGGAATTTTTAAGACAAGAGGGGATTACTCTAGAAAACACTGCACCATACACTCCAGAGCAAAATGGAAGGGCAGAACGTGACAATAGAACCTTAATTGAAAGTGCAAGGTCAATGATACATGCAGCAAAAGTTCCAAAATACCTCTGGGCTGAAGCTGTCAATACAGCTGTGTACATTTTAAACAGAACGCCTACAATGCAAGCTCCAGGTTCGACACCTTATGAAATTTGGTGTGGAGGTAAGCCTACCTTAAGTCATCTGAGAATATTTGGATGTGAAGCTTTTGTTCATATTCCCAATGTAAACAGAACAAAACTTGAAGCAAAGAGTCAGAAAATGATATTTGTTGGATATCATAACAACTCCACTAATTACAGATTGTTTGACACAAATACCAAAAAGATAACAGTATCTAGAAATGTGTTATTTAACGAAGATTCAAGAGGTTTTACTGACAAAGTTCTTCTTCTTCTTCTTGTTTCACGATGACCACTTACTGACAAAGTTCATTCCCATTCAGTCCCATTAGATATTCAGATTGAGAATGATTTGTTAGAAGAAGAAGAAGAAGAAGTAGTACAAGATCAAGAGGTTATAGAGATTGAAGAACAAAGACCAAGAAGAAGTGTTAGGTTACCACCTAGATTTAAAGATTTTGATTTAAATTTTGTAGAGTTAGACATTCTTGAAACATTTGAACAGGCAATGAAGAGTAAAGAAACAATGCAATGGAAGTTTGCCATTTAAGAAGAAATAGAAGCATTAGAACGAAACAATACTTGGCAAATTGTAAATCAAGAACCAGGACAGAGACCAATTGACTGCAAATGGGTATTTCGAGTAAAACGAGACAAAAATGGCAAAATATCAAGATACAAAGCTAGACTTTGTGCAAGAGGTTTCAGACAAAAAGAAGGCATAGACTATAATGAAATTTTCTCACCAACAGTCAGGTATGATTCAATTAGAATTTTACTAGCCATTGCAGCAGCAAGAAGTTATGAAATTATGCAATTTGATATTAAGACTGCATTCTTATATGGTGACTTGGAAGAAGATATTTTTATGTTCCTGCCAGATGGTATAAAAGATAAATACAGTTCAAACAGTGTTTGCAAATTAAGAAAATCATTATATGGTTTAAAACAAGCTCCAAGATGTTGGAACAAGACTTTTAATAATTTTCTATGTAGTTTTGGTTTCAAACAGTGTGAATCAGACAGATGTGTATACCAAGGTCAAGTCAACAATGAAAAAGTATTTCTTGCTTTATATGTAGATGATGGATTAATAATATCAAAGAAGATTTCCTCAATAGAAACAGTGCTGAATAAACTCAAAGATCAATTTGAAATAACATTTAATGAAGCTAATTAGCTTCATATGGTAAAATAATTATTTTGTAGGTCTAGAAATTTCAAAAAGAAATAATGAAATAGTTATAAGTCAAAAACATTACACTCAACAGATAATAGAACGATTTAATATGACAGATGCAACTCCAGTAAGTACTCCAGAAGATCCAAATCAAGACTTATCAATGCTTGAGACAGAACAATGTGAAAAAGTACCGTACAGACATGCAGTTGGTTGTTTGATGTTCCTCGCAACTGTAAGTAGACCAGACATTTCACATTCAGTGGGTGTAGTTAGTCGCTATTTGAACAATCATTCGAAAGCTCACTGGCTTGCTGTAAAACGTATAATAAGATCTTTAATCAATATAGTGTCATATTAGATACACAAACATAGACACCATTCAGATTACTGGCTATTGTGACTCAGACTATGCGAGTGATAAAGAAACACGTAAATCAACCAGTGGGTATATTTTCAAAATTACTGGACCTGTGACATGGTCAAGTAAGAAACAACAAACTGTAACCCTATCAACCACCGAAGCCGAGTATATTGCTGCTTCTGATGCTACCAAAGAAGCCCTGTGGTTAAAGCAATTTTTAGTTGACATTAATGAAACATGTAGTTTGCCCATACAGCTCTTCGTAGACAACCAGAGTGCAATTCGATTGATTAAGACTTCAGATCAGCATCACCGAACAAAACACATAGATGTGAGATATCATTTCATCAGAGAGAAGTATACAAATGGTGAAATTTATCCAATATACATCCCAAGTAAAAATCAACAAGCTGACATATTCACAAAAGCCCTTTCGAAGAAAGCTTTTGAAGAATTAAGAAGTGCCTTAGGACTAGAAGAAGTATAACTCAAGAAAGAAGTAATCATTTTTAAAAGAAGAAAAGAAAAACATTTCAAAAAGTGGGTGTGTTAAGATAGTTTTGAACTGTTTTATTTAGAGTTAATATTTTGAATTTGG